CTCCGACGGACCAGCTCGCCGGCGACGATTTCCACGAGCTCATCGAGTCGATGATGGAGGACCAGGACGGCAATGAGCTGAACTCGTCGTCGGCGCAGGACGAGGTTCACGAATTAGAAGCGTCTAACGATACCACGTCGTCGGGCGAAATTATGATGCTAACGGAAGAAGACGGAGGCGCTAACGGCGAGGACTCGAAGGGGCTTCGGCTCGTCCATCTGCTGATGGCGGCTGCTGAGGCCTTGACCGGCGCAAACAAGAGCCGAGATCTGGCTCGGGTGATATTGGTTCGGCTCAAGGAGTTGGTCTCTCCAACTGACGGTACTAACATGGAGAGGCTGGCGGCGTATTTTACTGAGGCCCTTCAGGGTTTGCTAGAAGGCGCAGGGGGTGTTCAGGGTAAGCATTTGATTGGGAATGGGGCCCACCGCGATCATGGACACCATCCGACGGACGTGATCGCTGCGTTTCAGCTGCTCCAGGATATGTCGCCATATGTTAAGTTTGGGCACTTCACAGCCAATCAGGCGATTCTAGAGGCTGTGGTCCATGATAGGCGGGTCCATGTTGTGGACTATGACATCATGGAGGGGATCCAATGGGCCTCTTTGATGCAGGCCTTGGTATCCAGGAAGGATGGCCCACCAACCCCGCATCTTAGGATCACGGCGTTGTCGAGGGGTGGGAGTGGGAGGAGATCAATCGGGACCATCCAAGAGACAGGCCGCCGTTTGACCGCATTTGCCGCGTCAATTAGTCAACCTTTTTCGTTTCATCAATGTAGGTTGGATTCAGATGAGACATTTCGACCGTCCGCTCTGAAGTTGGTCAAAGGAGAGGCCTTAGTGATCAATTGCATGCTAAACCTCCCACATTTTAGTTACCGGTCTCCGGATTCGATTGCTTCGTTTTTATCCGGAGCCAAGGCCCTGAACCCGAGACTAGTGACTTTGGTAGAAGAAGAGGTCCGGCCGGCGGGAGACGGAGGCTTTGTGGCCCGCTTCATGGACTCATTGTACCACTACTCAGCAGTATACGACTCACTCGAGGCCGGGTTCCCCATGCAAAGTAGGGCTCGGGCCTTAGTTGAGAGAGTGTTCTTGGGGCCCCGAATAGCCGGGTCATTGTCCCGAATATATCGTGCCAACGGGGAGGTGGGTTGCTCTTGGTCGGAGTGGTTAGGTGCGGTAGGGTTTAAGCCAATGCCAATAAGCTTTGCCAATCATTGTCAAGCAAAGCTCCTGTTGGGTTTATTTAATGATGGTTATAGGGTGGAGGAGGTGGGCAATCATAGGCTGGTTTTAGGTTGGAAGTCTCGTTGTTTACTATCAGCTTCTATTTGGACGTCACCCCCAGAATTTGATTGTGTCAATTAGCTTCTTCAACTTTTTTATTTGCTTTTCAGCCCCCTGTTTGTTTTTTTCTCTCGCTGATCTTTCTTCTTTCCCAATTTAGCTCCCAGTCCCTAGAACCCTCAACTTGGTTTTCAAATTGTAGCAAAGTTTTGAACCAAATGTTGGTCAAAATTGTAACCAAACACAAATTTGGGATTTCGTTTCAAGCCAGTGTAGTTGAGCTCTTTTAAGTGTGTCTTACGTTGTTGTGTTTGGGACTTTTTAAAGTTTCAAGAAAAAAAACATGGTTCTCTTGAGAATAATGTGAAGGACATTTGTAAATATAAAAAAAGTGCAGTTGCCCAATGTACTTGTAAATATAAGGTACGTTTTCAAAGCTTGTTATACATGTAACTTTCGTAAGCTAGAAATATATGTTAAATGTTATCGTCAGTTGTTTACGCTAATAATAAAAATAAAGAACTAATTTGTTAGTCTCTGAAAAGGAAAGTAAATAGCCTTTGTCTCTTTAGTTGATTTTCCTTAAAATACTACTAACAAACATTCCCACACACAGGTCTTGCAAATAAGCTAGTAAAACTTTGCTCTCCATATTCTATCATCTCAATGGGTTAATATTCTATTTCATTCCTGTCAGCTTTGGTCATTTACTATTGACTTCAAAACTCCCCCTCTACTTCCATGTTCACATTAGGGCCCGAGAACTTTTCCCCTGTGTTTGTGTGTAAGTATATCTGTGTTTTTCTTTTTCTTGAAAAATTCATTTTTGATTTGGCCTTTAGCTCACAGAAGGAGTTTTGCTTTAGCAAACACATAACTAAGAACCAGTGAAACAAATATATATATATATATATATATATATATATATATATTTAAAGTACAAGCGATAATCTAAATTACAAGGCCAAATAATCATGGAGGTTCGAACCTGAGATCTCGAGTCTGTAAGTCAATATCATTTTCTACTATGTTGACCTTGTTGGCCATATTTTAAAAATAAAAGTAAAGAAAAGTGAGCAAATGGGATGAAGCTTCAAACGGCAAAGATTTGAAAATAAAACTGAGTTTTGAACCTAGACACACAATAAAAGATTGAGACAACTAATATAGGTGCTGGTGGTTGGCACATACCAATCTCTTCCATGTGTAAGCCATCCTTAATTATGGGACAAATGACGTAGGCAAAGAAAGATTATTCTCCAGAATATGCATTTAAACAAATTTAACTTTTGGATTTTCATGGTACATGACAAAAATAGCTTGAGATGCTCTCTTAGTCTCTCATCATCCAAACCCTATATTTTATATAGGCTCATGTCGTAAGACGTCGCCAGAAAATTGTTCACCTGGACCATTGTTCAGAGAGCCTGAGACATTGCAGTGCGCAATCTCCATAGATTAATGGCAATTTGGGGAAGTTAAATAACTTATATTGTTGACGTCGAAATTTCGTCAACTGTAGATGACAACAACCCTAAAGTACAACGTACATATAGCTCTCTTCCCCATTAACAACTCGTATAGAAAACGAAGTGTGGTGTAAGCCGAAGAGCCTCTGACATTTAGGTTTTGCATGCAAATAAGTATATCTTGAGAGCATGGTGACAAAGTGCATATATAGTACCAAAGCAAGGGGGAAATTGGTATACAAATGATGGGTTTTTATGATGTTTGTTTTGAGGGAATGCATGTGGATTTCACTCCAAAACAAGGCTCCAAGTGTGCTTCCGACTTGGGGTCTGAGCTCAAATGGAGGTTGAGATGCTAAAATATGTTATGGGGCTGATGTCGGTGAAATTAGTTGAATGACTAACGTACCGATCTAAGGACAAGGCCGATCTGTTAAAAGTAATCTCAGTACTTTTTTGCTTGGATGATTCTTAATATGTACAAATATAAAGTGTCTTATTTTTATACAAATGATAAGAGTGAAGCAAATTCTTTTAATCACTAGAACTACAAATATCTTGCATGAACCTGTTGTTGTATTAACCATTTTAAGTACTTGGAATATAATACCTTATTGAAATGATGATAATGTGCATGTAAGAATGTGAAGGTAAATAGTCCCATATCTGAAAGTTGAGAAACCTAGGAATAGCTTATAAGGAGTTGGGCTACTCCCCTCATTGCCAATTGATTTTGGGGTGGAATCTCAACTTCTTTTATGCCTTAACATTGCCTCTTTTTTTTTCCTTCTTCTTCTCATGTTCAAGTGAGGTGGAGAACGAGGGTCGACTATATAATGAGTCAAGTGGATGCAATTAAGTATTCTATCATTAAGGTTATAATCCCTACATCTTAACATGCAAAACATAATAAAATACATGCGTACACTTGGACTTGGTTATGTATATAGAGATAGGTATATATATGCTAAGAAATAAATTATACACATCGTCTTCAATAATACACAAATTAATTGATTCTAATTTCTACACACGCACCTATGAATCATCAACAGGCCATGAGCCCAATGTTTAAAAATGATATAATTTATCGAGAGAGACAAATTTTATATTAAAAACCCAATATTTATAGATTATTTTAGTAGCAAATTGCAAGATTGTTATGCAAATCTAATTAACTATGACGTTGTTTGGGCGATGTACACATTATGAAACTCATTTTGGGTATTAGAGAAAATATAAAAACCAATGTAGGGACTGTTCATTTATATCTTATTGGGCTTTGCCCTCCTTTCAACCAAAAATAGAATAAATAATTAACTCCATCTATAAATTATTAGGGCCTAGCACCGCAATATAGAAGAAACCTTTTGCTATCATCATGTCATAATGCCTAGGAGAGAGAGAGATACCATTAACGTCTCACTGCAGAATCGTAATATTGCAGGAACTGCTTGCGCCACGTACCATTGCTATGACATATCCATCACCAATTTTCAACGAGAAAAAGTTGCCCAACCAAGTCCAAACAAAACTAGACTTGCCTGTGCTGCCAGTCTCAGTAGTAGGCCGTTGTAGGCCGAATGACTTCAAGGCCTACGACTTTGTCTTGTAAATAGTTGGTTTTTCTTAATCTCAGGCCCAAAGAAGGCAGGTTAGATTTCATAATCATGTGAGATATGCGTCACTAATTTTGTACAAGAAGAAATTATAAACAAAACAATGCTATTTTAAGATATTGTTTAAAATTGGATTGACATTTTGCTTTTGATTGGGACCGCATACTACAACCCTATAATGTTTGCCATAGAAATTGAAGCCTTTTAAACTAGTGTTCTTTCAAAATAACCTAAATTAAACTGTAATAAAAAAAAATCAAGCCTAGTAGCACTTAGGGGTGGGCATCAATCCGGCCGAACCGATTATATTGGATTGGTTTGGTTTGGTTTTGACTAAAGAAAAAGTCAACAGTTTGAAAAACCGAACCGAACCGGTTTGGTTTGGTTCGGCTGCGGTTTGAGAGTTTTAAAAACTGTCCTAAACCAAACCGGACCGATTATAAATCAATTTATTATTTATTTAATTTAGTTTACATGTGGCAAGACTTGAGTGGTTATTTAGAAGTGTACCATGTACCCAGCAACACTTGATTGGACTCCAAAACTACAACTCACGGACACATCTAAGATCTAACCATTCTCTCTCCTTCAGATTTCTCTTAGAGCCTCTCTCCTATCTCCTATCTCCTTTCTTCCTTCGTCTCTTAACCCTAGCCGCAACTCCCTCTCATTATTTCTCCATCTCTCTCTGCTACCTCTCCCTCTCTCTCTATCTCTCTGCTACATCTCCCTCTCCCTCTCCCTCTCCCTCTCCACCAGGTTCTGCAAGGATTGATGATGGGAATATTGCATTATTTTGCTTTTCCTTGCTGGGCATTTGGCGGACTTGATTCTTCTATGGGGTAAGTTTTTCTTTCACAAAAGGTTCACCAATTATTCTACTTTATTCCATCAATTATTCTATTTTATTCCACCAATTATTCTAGTACTTAGAAATTGTTGGTTGGTATGCATATTTTTAACAGATGTTTCAAATTGTTATGAGTTACCGAGTTGGTGCTTTGTGCTGCTTCAAGTAAGATGTGAAGATAATATGTTTTTTTTTTTCCAACTAAGGCCTGCAATCTATATCTAAATGTTATGCAGAGAATAATCTTTGGACTCAACAATTTTTACCTGTTTGTTCCTGTTTAT